CCCTCAGACCCAGGAATTCCAATCCCCTCCCCCACAACACCTAAGAGTCAGAGCTTCCAGACCCCTTTCTAAGACATTGCAAGCCCCCTTCTCTCCTAGGACTGAGTTGTCCAGCCCCCCCCAGACCCCACTTTCTTTAGGAACCTAGTTTCCTGGGTCCTCTGGGAACCCAGAAACCCCTTTGCCCCAAGGGGACTTCCTGCCCCCTGGCCTCTCAGGACCAGGAGTCCAGAGGCCTCCGGCTTCCTGCCCATCTCAAAAGCTCACAGCTCCATATCTACTGGCTACAGACCCATAGCGACCCTGCAGGAAGGGGTAGAGCTGCCCCCCATGGATTTCTGAGACCATAAAGGCTCTTCCCAGTCAGTGTCCAGCAGGAGGCTGCCTGGCCCTTACCCATCAGAGAGCTCTTTCTCACCTGGGGAGGGTGTGATGTGGACTGCTGGAGGTAGGCGTCTGAGGTCTCTGCAGGGTGGCTCTCTTATACCACCGCAGTGCCCGCGCCCTCGCCCGCCCCCAGCGCCGTTGGGTGCGGGCAGAGCCAGCTGGGGGACACCCCCTTCTTCCCCTGCCTTTGTGCTTATCTCAGAGCCCTGGGGCGGGCCCCAGGCCCGGGCGCGGTGCAACTGCTTGGACCGCCCCCACACATTCTGGTCCCAGTGTCGCCGGTGGCTGCTCTCGGGGGAGGGGCCAGGTGCGCGGCTGGGGGGACGACTCAGCCAGTTCACTCCGCCCACCCGCGGCCCTCCTCGGGGGCTATATTTTTGGGTTTTGATCCCCTGTTTTGAGGGGGGGGGGTCCCTCAGAACCCCTTTCTCGGGCTGACCCACATTGGCGGGGCTGGAATCCTGTGTGTGCTTGTGTCCTAATGGCTGCTGTTGGCCCTGGCTGCCCTCCAGCGGCTTTGGGCGGTTCTGGTTTCTAAGGACCTCATAGGTACAAGAGGCAAACGCAGTGTGACCACCCTGCTACCGGGCTCCTTGGGTGAAAGTCAGTGGTACGTCCTGGGGTTGGGATGGATATAAGGCTCGGGCTCAGGACTGAGCAGGGACGCATATTTTGGGGGGGCTGACTTGTCAGCTGGAATCTATTCCACTTTGGGGGGCCGGGGGCCTTCCCGTTTTCATCAGACAATGGTTCCCATCCGGGTCAAAACCAAAGTCCGACGTTGGTCTTCAAGGTTTGGTGTGATCTGAACACTGGCTCTGTCAGCTTCAGTCACCGGGGCCTCTTTGCTAGAACATTCTAGCTGCACTATCTCCCCACCTCATCCCAGTGACATTGTGTGACCTCCATATTCCAGCCACGCCATTGGCCCTGTGTATTCTGCTTCCGAAGGCTCTGTCGCCAGGTAGCCGCATGGCTCTCCTTCAAATCGCCTCCTCTAAAATGTCGCTGGAGCGTCACCCCTTGTCTTAGACGCCATCTTCCCAAATCCTATGAATCCCAGCAGTCCCTCAGGATGGAGATCAGTAACGCCTCCTCTCTCTTTCTTGTTTTCTTTTTCTCCACCAGGTGTACCACGGTCAAACATACCACATGTCTCATGTGCTTAGGGTGGTCTGGGGAGCGCTCATGGTATAGTGGTGATGCCTTGGGCTGCTAACTCCAAAGCCAACAGTTCCACACCACCAGCCACTCTGCAGGAGAAACGCTTTGTGGCACCGTGACCTTGACTTACCTCATTCTGTGAACAATGCCAAGCCACTGGGCTTTCAGTCAGGAGAGGGACATGCTAATAAAATTTGTACTTTCAGAATATCACTTTAGCTGTCCTGTGAAAGGTGGGTGTTAGCGAGATGTGTCGGCATCCACCGGGAGACCACGAGGAGGCCCTTGTTGTTGGCTAGGTGAGAGAGGATGGTGACTTGGGCAAGGATGGCAGTAGCTTCAAGGTGCAGATGGTGATCGTTGGACGGATTTAGGATGTGTGTAGGAAAGAGAACCAGCAGGTCATGGTGATGGATGGGATGGGACGTGCGGTGCTTGACAGGGAGATGTTAGGGCTGCCAAGTCTCTTCCTGGATGAATGAATGGTTATGCCGAGCAAGCACTATCTTGTATGGCAAGAAGAAGACCTCCAGGACCCTGGGTGGGTCTAATCCCCAACCTTTACGTTGACAGCCAATCCTGAACACCACCCTGACCCCAAACCCGAGCTTTTACCTAATCTGAACCCCGAATTCAGCCTCAAACCGGACTAACCCTAAATCAATGTTTACCTCACCCTGGAACCGAAATCTTGCCCGCAACCTCAGATCACAAACCTGAAGTCATCCCAAATCCTGCTTCTAACTTGACCAGCCTCATTTGATACTGCAACCCTAAACCTAGCGTTTTATCCAGACTGACACCAAATATCAGTCCTTCCCCCTCACCTCCACCAACCTAACCCTGACTGTGGATCCTAACCCTGACTCATAGGTCAAATTCCACCTTGACCCAAACACAGAATGTCACCTTAGCCTCA